ATTTGTTGTTTCTTGATGCCTTATATTATCTTCTTATCCCTAATCTTTGTAGAGACCTGCTTAGTTAAGCCTTGACTAATCCAAACTAGTGTCATTCTATGGCAAATTCAAATACATTTATCTGTTCTGATGCTTCTGAAATTAGATTCTGTGAGAGCAATTGATGTTCCCTTTAAGACTATCTTATTCTTCTTTAAATCCTTGATGCCTGTTACTCCCTTTTTTCTGAACATGGCTTCTAGGAAGTTCTCTGATATTCGTTCTTTTTAATTTAATGATTGAAGCTAACAATAACACGTATTACTCAAAGGGTAAATGAGTTTCAATAGATGTGTATAAATATCTGAACATTAATGATCATATGAGGTCTACCAAAAAAAAATAATAATAATGATCCTATGAGGGAACTTTTAGCCCCGTATCTGATTGAAGCTTTCATTCATTATATTATGCTTGGGGGCCCTTGCTAGTTTAGTTGCAGTTCTTGAATGAATATTTCTTTCTTCTCGTTTTCCCAGACAAAGAAGGATGACATGCTGCGGTATAAGTTGGAAAGAGTTCCTTTCTTGGAGGAGGAGATAAGAAAGATAAGGGAAGGGGGAAAGCTTTTGACCATGGACATCCACAGACTGTTGCTATCAGAGGATAACCGGTTTGATTTTGTCAATGAAATAGCAGCTGAGGCCAATGAATTGGTTGAGACCAACATGGACGACTATGGAGGGAAGAAGAAAGCTATACTTCAGGTGCTCAGTGACCGAGTGACTGATACCACTGGGTTTTACCGCCCAGATGCTTATGCTGAATCTGATCCTTTCAAGCCTGGACCCAACTACTTGAAGGAGGAATTTACATAAACTAATAAATGTTAGTTTCCCTTGTATTTCAACATTGTACCTGTACCAGAAATGTTCTTTATTGTACCATCATTCCCTTCAAATTGATTATTATGGTTATATCTCAACCATGATTTTCCTACTAACTCGTTAGGCCTGAATTTTGTTCTTAGAATTTCACCCTTGAACTTATATTTGGACTAATTCAACCCTTATACTAAACATTATGCCCAAATAAGGCCAAAATTGATAGGTGTTGGGATGTTTGTACTATTGTCTATACCAATTTGCTTCCTAATTTTATGTTAAATCTAACTTAACAAAGCCGATCAAAAAAAAAAAAAAATCTAACTTAACAAATCCAAGTAGGACCTTTATCCTTGCTTACTTCTACTATCAAGTAAGACATTAATAGAGACATCACAATTCTTATATGGATTTTCTGTCCTGTACTTTTAGGGTACAAATTAAAGATACAATAAATACATCATTTTACAATTAATTTATATAAAAATTAATAAAAGTTAATTTGAATTTAATTAATTGATTAATTAAAACTATTCATATGACAATAATACTAAAATAAAATTTAAATTTTGTTATTTTTTATGTAAATTAATTGTAAAAAAATATATTTATTATATTTTTAATATTGAGAACACAAATAAGACAAATCATTTTTATATAAAATAAAAAAAGTTGACTAGAGAAGACAGTAATAGAGATATTACCTATTAAAAAGATTGATTAGGTAAGATATTAATAAAAACATCTCTAATGAAAGGAAGGTGACTAGCTAAAACATTGAAATGGTGCGACCTCCCTCCTTAACTTCAGCTTTCAATGGGCTTAACCTATAGTGTATGAATAGGATTAAACTAGTCCACAAATAAGTTTGAGGGTGGAATTTGACCCCCAAAAAAATAAAAAACCAATTTCGTGGGCTAGCTTTCTCTTTTTAGGTGACGTGGTTGATTACAGTGACCTACATGGGAATACAATCCGTTAAAAATCAGTTAGAAGCCGATCGTTACTTTCTTATCTTCCCCAAACCGACCAGAGTCACAGAACAGATCCCTGCGCCTCAGCTTCTGGATTCTGAACTCGTCCCGACTCAGCGATTCAACTCACTGAGTCGACTATTTCAATGGCGTTGTCGACCACGCAGTTGCAGAGATTCCACGCAGCCGGGGCTAATTTCAGCTGCAGTGCTAAAACCACTACCAGGAGCCACTTTCTCACCACAGCCAGAGCCAAAATTCAGTGTCGATGCTCCGCGATTGCAATCGACGCACCGTCTTCTCTCACCGATGTTGCAGGGATCCGGTGGGGGTCCACGAGCTTGCAAGGCGCACGCGAGGAGATGGAGGATGATTTGGTAATCCGATCAGACGGTCTGGATGGATTCTCGTTCGCCGCTGTTTTTGACGGCCACGGCGGCTGTTCCTCTGTCAAGTTTCTTAGGTTTTGGTTACTTGAGAAAATTCCTTTGGATAATCCATTCCTTCTTTGTTTAATTTTTACGAATTAGCGAAGTTTTTGCTTTGAATCAATGAGAGAAAAACTGTGTAACATGCCCTGATACGCAGGGATGAACTTTATAAGGAGTGTGTTGCGGCTTTAGAAGGAGGATCAGTTTTGAAAGGAGGCGATTTCGAGGCCATTAAGAAGTTATTGAGGGAGGCATTCGGAAATGCTGATAGAAAATTGTTGAATTGGTGAGCCAGTAGGGTAGGCATTCTTCTTTTGGAATTACATTTTAGTTTTGATATGGTTATATATTTCCATCTTTTTGTTTGAAGGTTTATATGATGTTTGTTTTTGTAAAGGCTTGAAACTTCTGCGGAAGAAGATGAATCTGGTTCAACTGCTACTGTTGTGTTCGTTGGAAATGATATGCTGTATGTTTCACATGTTGGTGACTCGTCAGTGGTATGTGTATTTCTCAACTATAATGGTTATTTTTGCTATGAAAATTAATTTTGGCAATTGACCATGTTACTTCAGTGTCAAGAAGCATAAGTAATTGAAATTGGAATGGTGTAGTAGGGTAGGTATTGTTGTAAATCTGTAAGTAATGTGTAAGTCCTCCCATGTGTAAACTGTTTTGGAATCAAATCGAACTTAACGGATTAAACTCTAGGATGATATGACTCTTCAAATTATTTTCTCAGCTGATGTCTTTCTGCAGGTTTTATCTTGTTCAGGAAAAGCAGAAGTATTAACCGAGTCTCATAGACCATATGGAAGCAGTAAGGCCTCTCTTCAGGAAATCAGAAGAGTCAGAGAAGCAGGTGGATGGGTGTGTTTTCATGGTCCTAAAATTTATCAAGACTTCTTTAGCCTTAGTGCCTTGTGGAAGTTTTAACCGGTTCAACTCACCAGTACGTGGCTGATGATAATTTTTGCACGTGATGTCAACAGATTGTCAATGGAAGGATTTGTGGCGACATAGCTGTTTCCCGTGCTTTTGGTGACATTCGGTTCAAAACAAAGAAGAATGAGTTTGGTTCTTTTCCTTTTATTTTCATTTTTCAACACAATATCTGTAATGACAGTTTTTATGAGGCCTACATATTTATGTGTATCATTGGAGTTGATATGTTTTGCTTGTAGGATGCTAAAGAAGGGAGTTGTGGAAGGAAAATGGTCCGAAAAATTTATATCTCGGTATGTGAAACTCTGATCAAGGAGCACAGTTGGATTGTTTATTGACCCTTTGAAAGTACAGAATATTTGTTTCTAATTGTAGCAGAATATTCAAGGGCACCAGTTTGAAATTTATGAGGTTTTACAATTGCATACCTTATGTGTCATTCCAGAATAAAGTTCAATGAGGACTTGATCATTGCATATCCAGAAGTTTTTAAAGTAACTCCTGGGTCAGATGCAGAATTCTTGCTGTTGGCATCAGATGGGTTATGGGATTACATGAACAGGTTTTGGGCTACCCTTTTGATTCTTGGTGTAATCTATACAAAGGAGAAATTTTCCCTTAGAAGCATGCCAATTTAATGTGAATTGTTTTTATCTTCTCCAGCTCAGAAGCAGTTTCTTTTGTTAGAAACCAACTTCGACAGCATGGTGATGTTCAGGTCAACAACTTCATTTTTCTGAATTTTACTTCCAAAGAAAGCATCCATCTATCCAGTTCTTATCATGTCGAGGTGCTTTAGATGATCTTCTAACCTGTTGTGGTTTAACCTTTCCTCTTTTTCTGATTTCAGCTAGCATGTGAAGCCCTTGGCCGGGCTGCTTTGGTAATGAATTACATGAGCAGTTTGTTTCATTCAATTCATCCAGTTAAGTATGTTGATTGGGCAAGTTTCAGTAACTTCAGAATTACATCTTATTGTGCAGGACCGACGTTCACAAGATAATATCAGCATTGTGATTGCTGATTTAGGGTATGCCCCTTTTTTATGATTTCTCCATTATGTATCAGAGTCCAGGTTGATTTGTCCCTAATACAACTAGAATGATCTTGTTGTGTGATTTTAGCTTCCAGTTTATGGTTACAAGTCCTTTCCCATCCCATCTTAAAGGTTTATTGTAACCTTAATCTGAAATTCCGTTGAGATAAAATGATCACCTGCTTTGCAAAAGTAACAGATACTTCCATGCTGATGGTCCATTGAGACTCCAAAGAAGAAGTTTTTTCCTGCACTTAGGCTTTCTATTCTATTAGCCTGTGCGCAGGTCAATGGAAGCTGTTATATTTCTGATTCCATTTTTTATGGAGTAATGGAGGAAAGTTTTTCTTTTCTTCTTGTTAAATTTTTCTTTGAAAAGAGGAAAGAAAGAGAAGAGAGGAAGAAGTATAGAAAATGTACTTGCTACTGTACATAGCACAATCTGTTCTCTCAAGGAGTCAAGCAAAACAAAAGAAAAAGGGAAAACAACACATTCCTAGATAAATAGGAGATTGGACTTGGGAAACAAGGAGATAGAGGAACAAGAGAAGAATTTGAAATTAAAAGTAACTGGTCGTACATGTCTTTCAGATTCATCTGTCTCGGATCTATGGCTAATCACTATTTTACTTTCTAATATCGTTCATACCATATCATAATGTCTTGGTTTTGACTTTTTACAGGCAAACAGACTGGCAGAATTTGCCACTACAGCAACAGAATTTTGTGTATGAATTGGGCCAGGCTTTGGCTACCATAGGTATTGTGTCCGTTGGAATATGGATGTCATCCCTGCTTTCTTTTTGACTTTGTTGGACTCATCAATGTATATAGACATGTACACAGATTTGACACTTTGTTTATGTTATAGACAATGACACTGTACATTGCTAGCATATTAATGCCATTGATTTAGGCAACTTTGAATATTCTTGAAAGAGTAAATTAGTTAATTTTGTTGTGTCCTTACCACTTATGGAGTTCGGTGTTTATGCCTTCGAGAAAACCCTGTAAAATAGAGCCAAAAAGGTTCTTCTGCATTATTTCTTCTGATTATGTTGGTGGAGCTACATTGCTAAAGTAAGCATTTGTATTAGTCTTATTATTATTATTATTTTTTGAACTAGTACAACTGGGGGATTAAAAATGGTGATTGCTACGGTTTAAATTTTAGACTTTTAGATGTCACTACTCTTTTTAAAGGAGCGGTCACCATTAATGGTCACCATTAAACCATAATGGTGGTTGACAAGTATTTGTATTAGTTTATTAGTTTATTAGATGGAGAACTATTAAACTTAATTACTTGGACAAAGTAAATATAACAAGAAATGTTGTTGGGCTTGAATTTCTGAAATTCAAGGGTGGTAGTCAATGGGTGTGATAATTCGCAAGTGGAAAACCTTAAATTAGATGTATGAACAATTGTCTTTCTCCAGTTTCGAGGTAATGGAGAGACCTGCCGACAGCACTCTATAGCTGTAGCTGATCTTGACAAATTAATGTAGGAAACCGTAATGATCTCCTACTTGTTGCGATTGCACCTGTTAATTTGGCATTTTGATTCTACCATTCTGAATTATGTGGAGATTAATATGTTTTTGGTGACGTTCATCCATTAACTTTATGCTAAGTTTACAAATTACCATATATTTTCTCTTTCCCTTGCTGTTTATTTAATTCATGGTTCAGAATGATGAGTCAGCAATTGCTTAAGACATTGATCCAGAAATAAAGAACAGACTGGAAGCCTTGAGATTACAGGTTCGATTTCTCCATCTCTGCTCTGAGTTTGTAAATAGTTGCAAAGAAAATAGGGTGACCCAACAATTGGAATCATTATCACTCAATCCCGTTTGTGTCTTCTGTTGATTTCATTAAAGAGAAGTTATTTTATTTTTATAGTATATAGCTAAGATACAATATTGGCTATGAATAGCCAATTTAGGAAGTACATACTAGGAAGTACATACATAACATACTTGAGGAAAACATCTAGAATTTACTGCAATAGTATATTCTTTTATCAACTTAGTACACCCACAAGTAGGGTTCTAACATCTTATTGGTACTGAATAAACTCATTTTAATTATGCCACATCACCTCATCTAATACTGGATCAAAACCTCTGGAAACAGAGAAATAGTTCCTATATAATTTTTTGTTACTTAGTTTATGGGTGACCACCAGGTTTCTTCCTGGGATCATGCTTAGGATTGGGTCCTGTGTCATCGTAATCCATCACTGGCACCAATAGCTTCTTGTGATTTCTCACCCTGATTCCGACCTTCATATTGAACCACCATATAATTAGTATTTGTTATTAAAGCTTATATAAATATGTTTCTGCGTGAAAAATAAAGAATTATTGGTGATATACAACTGCTTTACACGTAAGTTAAGTACCTACATGCATTTATTAATATTACTAGGTTTTTCTACGATTCCTATGTATGGTACCTGATCAAAAAGGAAGAATTTGGGATACTGCATGCCGTCTTTTTTGACATTTAGGGGTGGAGGGATTCGATCCTGGGACCTGAAGCCTCGTTCAATGCTTCCTGCAACAGGAACTGAGTGATCTATCACTAACTTGTTAATAAACGATGGCAAACAATTGAAGTTTAGCTGAGAAGAGTGTAAAAACCTGAAGATAACATGGTGATGAGAAGGAAGATGGAAAGAAGAAGAAAGGCCTTGAGGGCAATAGCCATTGTAGAGATCCTTTGTTAGGAAATTGTGTAAGCAAATGGCTTTGGTGGGAGGGCAAGGGAGGGTGAGTGAGGTGGGTTTTAATATTGGTAGAGGGTAGGAGGATTGTGACAAATTTTGAGAGCTGTGCTGTGATCGTGCAGCCCACCCCAATAGCAACAGAATCATGATGAGCTGCATTTACCTCCTTTTGCCCACAAACCACCTAATTAGAAGTCAACTGCACTGTTTGTTTTATATGTTATTTCAGCAAAGAAAACGAGTAAAGGGACCCTTGTAATTTACAGGCAAAGTACCCCTCTGCATGGCTCAAACTCCATATAGCCCTCTAATCTCAACTTGCCTTTTCTTCATCATCATATCTATTGTTTCCCACATTTTCTTTTCATAAGTCAATCTGCTTTTCTTCTGCCACAGATCCACTATCAAAACATATTACCCATTCATCATCATGTTCATTTATACTTTAATAATGTCCCATAATTCCATTGTTTCTGTTGCGCCTCATCTTAATTTTTTAGCTTATTTCTGTTTTCTCGCCCACAGTTTCTCTTCCTTGTTACTTTTAGGAGATATTATAAACCAGCCTGCATGCATTGGATTAATTTACCTATTCAATTCAATAAAACGAATTACCATTTCGTGACTTTTTCTCCTCATTTTATTAGTAGAAAGATCTTATTGTGTGTGTGTGTGTCTTTTTTCTTTTTGTCAAAATGGACTACCAGTGGCTGCGCTTGCACCGCTTGCGTACAGGCCATTTATTTAATTGGATTAAAACTCACGTTACTCACCTGTGTTTGGTTTGGGTGAAACAGATAGGAGAGAAATGGAAATGGAAAGATAAAATATAAAAGAAATTAAAGGAAAAAAAGGGGAAAATCTTCTCTCCCTTAATTTTTTTTTAACCGAGTAAGAAAAAATTTTCTCATTTTTTCATTATTTCCCCTCAAACCAAACAAGTTATTAGTAATTGAGTTTGTGGGATTTTGACTTTTAACTTTGTTTGAACATCTATTAAAAACATATCTAATTATAAGTATAGATGACAAAGCCAATAAACAAAGTTAGTGTAGTATAATTTGTCATTCTAAAATTATTTTAAACAACCTGTTTAGAAATTTATTTTTTAATTAATATTTTTAAAAATTAATCATTGAATTAAAAATTTTATTTATATAAGCCATGTATGTTAATTTTTATATTAATCTAATACTTA